TTGGTCTCAGTTGTTACAAGATGGATGAACTGAGGCAAAACTATAATTTCTGTTCCAGAACCTGTGAATGAAGGCAGGCAGACTCCTGAGGAAGGGAGGGTGATTCTGAGGCCCCCAGGACTGGAGGAAGTTGGCTTTCCACACGCTTGTTTTGTGGGAGACAGAGAAGGCCACGAAATGTACTGATTTGTTAATTTATTTAAATGATTTTATCTATTTATGAATGAATAATGGTAAAAATTCAGAGCATTAACTAGTACGTAATGAAAATAGAAAATGGGTCTTAGTTCTGTGTCTGGGCAGCCAGTGCCCCTCCTCAGTGGCAAGCACTGCTATCAATTTCTTATGGATCCTTTTGAAACTATTCTTTTTCTGTCCAGATTTTTTTTTTTTTAAACACAGATAGTACCATATTATACACACTGTTCTGTACCTTCTTTTTTTGCTTAAGAATGTATCTTGGAGATTTTTCTTTGTAGTACATATTATGCTCTTTTCCTCTTTTTAATGACATAATATTTATGACATGGATATGCTATCATTTCTTTAACTGGGTCTCTACTTTTGAATAATTAGGTGATTTCCAATCCTTTACTGTTAAAACAGTGCTGCAACGAACCCTTAGATATAAAACCTTTTGCATTTCTGTAACATATCTGTAGGCTAAATTCCTAAAATTGAAATTGCTAGGTCTAAGGGGACACATATTGGTAATATTGACAGACGTCAAATTCCTTTGCATAATCCCATCAGCGTCGAGCTGAAGGCCTGCTTTCTCACATCCTTGCCAACACAGTGCAGACACAAATTTAAACTCTGGCCAAAGAGATTGAGTTACTTCTTTTTCTTTCATTTCCTTAAGAAAAATGTTCCCAGGATGCTGAGAGGCATCCTACTACTCAATTTGCATCTGAAAATAGTCACAATTCATTCACTTTACATTTGTTTTCTTATTTGCATTAAGACCTGAGAGAATTTGAGACTCATAGAAAGAAAAACAGAACTAATAGTCAAAAAATCTCATTGTGGTTTATTAGCTTTATAAGGCTTCAAATAAAGTCAGCAGTTTTTATTTTTTTGACAGTGAGAGCCGAGGGGTACCTATGGCCAGCAGGGGGCAGCACGTCCCCACAGAGAGTCAGGCTGCAACTCGTGCTCCAGCTCCGGGACTTAGGACCTAGTATTCAGTCAGAAACGCTAATTCACTTTGTTACCTTCCCTGCCATCTCAAGACGGTAGCCTGTTGGAGTTTCTGAGCGTAGAACAAAGCTTAGCTAAAAACAAACAGACAAACAACAACAACGACAACAACAAAAACCCAGCATAAGTTAAATATTAAATGCCAGCCAAATCCAGGGTGGCACGGAATAAGGGGGACGAGTATTGTGAACATAAATAGAATAGAATTTAAATAAAATATTTGATTATTCCACCAATCATTTCTGCTATAAAGCACAGAAGGAATATCCTTTATTGGATTAATATATTTCATATCCATTTTGGTGAGAAGTGCTAAAATATCAAATACTATCTTCTGTTCTCCTAGAAACAGGATTTATTTTACCTTAAAAAGCAAATATAGCCTGCTCCCTTAATATCAGTCCATTCAACCAGCAAATATTGGTTGAGTGCAATTTGCAAAGGATATGGGGTAGAGAAGACATGATGACCTAGTTGACAAAGCAGAAAACACTGGGACCCAGGTCAGGAGCTTTGATTCTGACTTTAGGTGAGGCACCATGTCTTTGTGCTTCAGACATGAAAATAAAACTAATTCCATCTGTCTTACTGGCCTCACGGGCACATATAAAATGCCACATGCAAGGATGCTTGAAAAAAAGAGCAAGTGCTACGCAGATGAAAAGATTTAAAAGCCACGCTAGAATGACTGTATCTTATGCCAACAGAAATGGCAGCTTAGTGAGTCCTTACTATATGCCAGGCCCTCTGCTAAACATACACATTATCTCAGTTAACACCATACCCCTGTGAGGTAGCTATTTTTAGCCCATTTTCCAGATGAGGAAATCAAGGTGTAGGAAGTTAGGGAAGCTTACTCCAAATCAGACTGTTAGAAGTGGTGGAGCAAGATTCATGTCCAGGACTGACTCCAGAGCCTACTATGAGGTGTGTCAGTCTGGTTCTTCATCATCTTCACAGTTCTGCACTTAAGAATTGCACATATTGCTCCCTTTACTCACAAGAGAACTAGCATTAAAAAGTTAGGTTTAGTGCTATCTCATGGCATTCTGAGCTCAGGATGAGGTAAGATGCCTTGGGGCTTCAGAGGAGAGGAAGGTCATTCAGATGTTTAGTAATTAGAAGTTTGGCCTGCCCTATAGGTAGGTCATAAAATAGATTTCTGAGACACTCATTATGGGCAAGGCCCCCAATTTAAATCCTTTCAGAAAGGAGTAAAAGTTTCTCATGAGCCCAGAGACTCTAGATTACCTTCAGCTCAAAACAATCCACCTCTTGGAGAGGCCTGTTTTGAACCCCTTCACTTTCCACACATACGCCAATTTATGGGCTCAATTAATTTCAAGACAATTTCATAAAATATCTCTATAAAAATGAAAACTGGCCATTTGCCTTAAGAAAAATTCTAGGGTGAATGGTGAGATTCTGTAGTCTACTGTAGTAGCATGAGCTATTATTGGCTAAGGGAAAAGCAAACAACTATGGAAAATCAGAAGAGGAGAATGAACAGGAAGAAAGAATTATTAACAAAAAGAACTACAAGGGAAAGGTTCAGCCAGGTTTCTTGAGTTTCTTGCTATATAGGATATAGAATGGGGTGAGATTTGTAAAGAGGATTTCCCTATCAGGGCTAAGCCTCCAGGGTACAGAATTGCCAAACCCTGGGCAATGGCCCTTTTAGATGCCCAGGGTAACTGCAAGGCACATGCGAAGGGCTTTGCTTTGTGAATTCTGCAGTCTCATTAGCTGGAGGTGATGAAGTGGCTCACAAAGCATAGATCTCAAGCGCCTTATCAATTCTGGGTACTTTTTGATATTCCATGAATCACACACCTGCAAAGAAAGCAAGTACCTTCTGGTTCCTGGTACCTTCAGAGCAGGAGCAAATATCACCTGAGAGTTCCCAGAACAAAGCAAGCACTGTTCTAACATTTTATCTATAACTCTTTAATAACTAATTCATAATGGTTCTACTTACTCCATTTTACAGGTGAAGAAACAAGTTTTTTGCTTCAAGTAAAAGTGGACAACCAGGATTTGGACCCAGGCAGTCTGGCTTTAGAGTGTGCATTCTTAACCACTCTATCTCCTTAAACTAAAAAGCAGAAGGAGGGACTAGGAGGAAGAGGCAGCCGGAGAGGAGGACTAGAACAAAAAGATGAAAGACAGCATAAATGGATCCTATGAATACCATCATTTAGTTCAACAGGCAGCTTCTGGAGTACCTACTATGGGCCCTGCCTTGGAACTAGGCACTCCTGAGCCACAGTGCGCTGGAAGAGGCGTAGAGAAAGCTGAACGCTAACAGGTTATTTCTATACAATGAGATTACATGCATGACAGAAATTTCTGTGTTCTTAAGCACATACTGAACGTGGAAAGTTACTGAGTTCAAGTGGCTAACCATTAAGGCACAGGCCGATTCAGTCACAGACGAACTATTGTGGATTCCTTTGCCGCTCTGCTTCCATAAAACGAACCTTGTTTTTACAAGGTTTTTCTGCAAAAGTGAAATTTAAACAAATTCACAGCCTTATTTGGGTTCAGTCTCTGTTGTTTGCTAAAGACTGGAAAACACTAGAGCAAACCATAAGTGAAAGGATTAAGTCAATGAAAAATTAAGCCAAAATATTCCACTAGTAAAATTGAATGGTGGAAAATATATTCCACTAAAATCTGCAGAATGATGACTAATCTCCTATTTGCGCCAATTCATTAAATCGCCTAATGGCAGCTATGGAAAAGTAAATTCCTTATCCTGAAAGCTTTTGCTCTTTAAATAAATGACGAACAAGTGCGTTGCAACAGAGACCAAAGAGTGTGCCTGCAGGAATTCCAGAGGGGCAGTGAATTCTGGTGGGACCGTCAGGGAGGTTCCTGCTCCCTGGGTGGCACCTAGGAGCAAAGCCGCATGGGGAGGGGGTCACCACTCAGGGCAAGTTGTCGCCTTCTGGCCCACGTCCGCTGGCCGCGCCAGGGAGGAGCGCCCGGGACCAAAACCCAGTCGTTTGCAGTGTCTGGCCGGCGGGTCCGCGCTTAGCGGGCGGCTCCCTAACTCTCGGGAAGATGCCTCCCCGGGATGCTCCATGGAGCTTACACAGCCTGGAGAAAGTGAGAACCTCATAAAACAAAGCGAGCGGCTGGGGGAAGGGGCGGGCGCGACCGGCGCGGGGTCGAGCACACGAATTGCTCTGAGTCTGGGCGCTGCCTGCGAGCCCCGAGGACCAGCCTGGCAAGGGCACGCGCGTGGCGGCGCCCCGTTCTGGTCATCAGGCCCGGGGTACCCACAAAACCCGTACAGTCTCCCTTCCTCTGAAAAAGACCAAAGGCAGGAAGGCCCCCGGCCCGGCC